GAACCCGGGCCGCAATCGCGGCCGGCGTTTTGGGTCAGGCAGTACGCCGGACGCCTATGCGACTCGCTCTGCTGCCCGCCCCGCCCCTCTGGTAGCGTCGCGGAAGCGCCGCCGGTCAGGAAGGTCCCCAGGAGGCGGTCCCTCCTGGAAGCCTGCGGCGGAGTTGGGAGGCTGGGCCGCTATCTTCCCACAGGGAATTGATCCTGGGCTCCTTTGCTCCGTTCCGCCCACGAGGGGACGTGGCTCCGGGGAAGTAAGGCCACGGCGGCTTCGGCTGTGTTTATTAATGTCCTAGAGGCGTCAGGCTAGCTTCGTCTTCCCGCCTACCTGGGCGTCCTCCCTACCCGCCCTCCCATATGGACTGCTGTGGGATGTGGGTGACGAGCCCCGAGCCCTGATGTGAGGTGTCAGCTCTGCGGAATTACCGAGGACTGTTGTGTGAGCCGAGTGTGAGCCCTGTGCAGCGTGTGCGGTGGAGGGGGATCGGCTGGGGATGCTTCCCGAAGGTCTCGTTTTTCTCCAGCTAGTCCACGAACCTGGCACCATCTGAGACAGTTGTCTGTTTATTGGAGGAGGAGATTGTCAGTCTTGTTTTCAAAGAGTCCTGACCAGTAACGGACTTGAGCGTCTTGTATTTCGACAAGTATATTTTTTGGTAGATGTTTTTAAACTTCAGGCTCTAATCCTAAATTATATAAGGGGGAAAGGATTTGTTTTATTAGGTGGGAAACTTTTTAGTGTGTGGGCTTGTGAAAAACTTACACCACTACAGGTTGGTTATTAGATAAAATTGTAGTCATTTAAACTAAACTTTGCTTTCGGATTTTAACATGTTAATTTTCTCTCATTAGTTCTCGAACCCCTATTATGTGAATGATTGTGTATTTAAATACCGATTACTATAATTCTGTATTTACAGTTTTTCCTAACTTAAGATTTTTTTTCTTTTTTTTTCCCAGGTGAATTACACTTCAGTGTACTCCAAATTGTATGCTACTGATGGGAACTATTAAAGTTTATAATGTCAGAAACTTTCCTTAGACCAAAGGTTTCTTCCACAAAGGTATGAGTGGCTGTGTAGTGATTGCCTAAAGACAGTGACAAAGCCGATGGCGGTGGGTGGTGCACACCTTTAATCCCAGCACTTGGCAGGCGAATCTCTGATTTCTAAGCCAGCCTGGTCTTCAGAGTGAGTTACAGGACAGCCAGAACTGTTTCCTGTCGCAAAGCCCCTCCACTCCTCCCATTCCCCCACCCTCTCCCAGCAAAGAAAAGACAATGGCAAAAGGTTGTTTGTTCTCAGTGACCTAATCCTAGCAGAGTAGTGATGGTCCAATGTCTGTTGAGATTAGTGACCTAAAGTCTGGTAATAAGCAGTAAAAAACCAGAACCTTAATTCTGAATAGAAAATTAAAAAAAAAAATCTTTCAAAACAGAATTTCTCTGTGTAGACCTGGCTGTCTTGGAACTTACTCTGTAGATCAGGCTGCCTTTGCCTCCCGAGTTGCTGGGATTAAAGGCTCCGAGCCACTGTGCCCAGCTTTGAGAAAGCATTTGTAGTACCAGTAACACAGAGTGAGCACTCTTGAATAGAAGAGACAGTATGTGTGTGGTCATTTGTTAGCTTAACCATGGGTTCTATTTCTTAGAAGTCAAGAAGTTCAGTGTGTCGTTTTTCAACAAGATAGGAATTTAGGTGCAAGGGGTGTCCAGATGGTATCTGCAAGGGAACTGGGAACCACTTCCCTATGGGTGGCTCCAACTTTTTTTTTATTTCAAGTAAATTATGTAGCTTTGTTTTTCTTTTTTCATGGTAGATAGAAGTAAGAAATAAAACTACAAAATGTATAAAAAATACACAAATCAATATTTTTGTCAGTTTAGCATAAAACTGTTTTCATAAACTTTTAAATGCAGAAAAATGAAAAAAATTTATAGTAACATTGCCAGTCTTTTAGCACAGAAAAAAAATGAATCAACTGGTTGTGACCGCATTTTTTTTCTCCACAACTTTCTTTTTCTACTACTGATAATATTCCTAACCTGACCTAAGAGTGAAGTGTAAATTAGGATTGATAAAGTAGTTATCAGCCCACATTTCTTCCCAGAAGCCTTATTTGCACCCTAGTTTTGGGCTCTATCTCTGAGAGGAGCATTATCTAACAAAGAGTTCCCAACTGTAATTAAGTCCCCTCCACTGTTGGTATCAGGCTCCATCGTAGGGGTCAAGGCTAGAGCCAGTGGGAGAGTAGTGGGCAAGCATCCTACTGCTGAGCAATGCCCTGACCCAAGCAGAGTGTCCTTGAATCTGATTCCCCCTCAGTCAGGCAGGATATTTCAAAGCCAGGCGACAAATGAGATTTTTTTTTCTAGATTTATTATAGAGTATAGCAGGCTATCCCAAACTTGCTGCCATCCTCTTGTTCTTGTCTCTTCGCTGCAGGGCTGAGAAGTTTGTGCTACCACACCCAGACATTTAAGAAAATTTCATTATCTGGAAAACTCCTTTAGTGCTGTTATTTTAGGTTGAAATTGCTCAATTCAGTATTTTTTCTTTGACAAGGTTTATGTAACAGCCCTGACTCTCCTGAAACCTGCTCTGTAGATTGGGCTAGCCTCAAATTCACAGAGATCCACCTGCCTCTGCCTCCCAAGTACTGGGATTAAAGTCATGTGTCACCACTGCTCAACTTTTACTTAAGGTATTAATGGAAGGAAACTTGGAGAGGTTAGCAGTTTCTGTAGACCAGAAAACATGGTCTGGAATGCTGATCTTTCCTAAAGTTTCTGTGAATAAGACAGCACCTTCCCTAGAAAGCCTGTCTCACTAAAGTGTCGACTGCTTCATTACAGCTGTAAGTACCAGGCACAGCATTATTAGAGCATTAGAATTTCTTATCTTTGTAAAGTCTTAAGACTAATCTGGCACTTAATACAGTTTCTCCCTAGCACTTAGGAGGCAGAGGCAGGCTGATCTCTGTGAGTTCGAGTCCAGCCTGGTCAAAAGATGAAGTCAGGATTGCCAGGGCTACACATTGAAACCCTGTCTTTTAAAAAAAAAAAAGGAAAGGAAAAGTTGAGGAAGTACTGAATGTACTTGGGAGGCTGAGACAGGAGCAGCTCTGATTCAAGGCTATCTTTGGCAACATAGTATGTTCTGGGTCAGCCTGAGCATGACCCTCTTTCAAAAAAATACTCATAGTAGATATATAATTTGTAGGACTTTGAAGGGTAATAGACATATTTCTAAAGTAGCTCAGTTACATAGGGAATAGGTATAAAACTTGTAGTAATTTTAGTTTTGTTTGTTTGCAGGTCACAGACTGGGTAGACCCATCATTTGATGGTTTTTCAGCGACTACTGCCGTCACTACTATCACTGCTTCATCTTTAGGTTTGAATAATTCAAGTCACAGAAGGAAAAAATCGCCCTCCACATTAGACAGTAACAGATTGCCGACTAGGAAAAGAGGAAAGCTGTTTTCTTTAGAACAGACCTATGGTGTAGAAACTTCAAAAGAGTATCTGTCTGATACTGAGCCGTGGGTGGATAAATATAAACCGGAAACTCAGGTATGCATTGGATATCATACAAACATGCCTATGTCATTTTAGGGTGGATGAACATGGATAACAAAGATGTTTTCAGAGTTTTCAGATGTTTTATTCATAAGAATCTTTTTGGCTTGCTATTGTGCCTCACACCTTTAATCCTGTGTTACCCAGGAGGCTAACAGACATAGTGATTGCAATGCCAGCAAGTTGTAGGAAAGCCAGGGATATAAAGAAGGACCCAGTCACAAAAAAGAAAGAAAAGGAAAGAAATTAGAAAAATGACGTGTGTGTGTGTATGTATATGTTAAAAGCCTATGATATGACTAAGTTGTTCTGTAGTTATACCATCTTTTCTGTCTTTGACCCAGACTAGAATTTATAGATGTACCCTTCTTTCCCCTCCCCCTGCAGAATCTAAAGCTGGATTTTTTAAAAAGTTCTGTAATAACAGATGTACAAAAAATTGCCATATAGTATTATCAGCGTGAGGATAGGGTTTTTCCATAAAAACATAAAAATTGAGGGTCTGGAGAGATGGGTCAGCAATTTAAAACACTGACTGCTCTTCCAGAGGACCCAGATTTTATTCCAGGTATCTACAACCATCTGTAACTTCAGTTCCAGGGGATTTAATGCTCTCTGAGGATACCAGACATAGTGCATTGATAAACACATGTGGGCAAAACACCCATACATATAAAATGAACAATATAAAAGAATGATCTGATAAAGCTGAGAAGGGTACAGGCAGGCACATGCTGGAAGGAGTGGACAGACTCCTGCAAGTTGTTGGCAACCTCCCCAAAACAAATAAATGTAAAGAATATATAAAAATTTAAGTATAATCAAGAGGCCCTATTTTATAGCAGCACCTTACTGTTTTTCAATTACTGTTTAATGAATTCATTTTTTATTTTATGTGTGAGTGTTTTGCCTGTATGTATGTGCACCACTTGTGTGCCTTGTGCCTGTAGAGGTGGAGAGTATTGGATCCCCTGGAACTGGAGTTAAAGATGGCTGTGACTCACCATGTAATGACTGGGAATCAACCATGTCCTCTGGGAGAGCAGCCAGTGCTTCTAATTGATGAGCTATCTCTTCAGCTCCTGTTTTGTACTTTTTGTTCACTAAAATGTTCATATTAAAAGGTGCTGGTAGGCTTAAAATGTTTTAAAATGTTTTTAACCTCAAATTTTTATCTTAGCATGAACTTGCTGTGCATAGAAAGAAAATTGAAGAGGTTGAAGCCTGGTTAAAAGCTGAAGTCTTAAAAATGAAGCCAAAACAGGTAATTAAGTAAGAAATGCATTTAAAATATTTAGCATCATGTGTTTTCTGACTTACAAGATGTTAATCTGTTTTTTTTTTTTTCCTCTTTATTGAGACAGTGTCTCACTATATAGTCCTGGCTGGCCAGGTTGGCTTCAAATTAACGGAAGTCTGCCTGCCTCTGTCCCTGGAATGCTGGGATTACAGATGTGCTCACTATGTAGCTCAGGCTTCTTTGGAACTGATTATACAACCTTGAGTTTATCCAAGTTCTGGGGTTATAAACATGAGCCGCCATGCCTGACAAGAAGATAATTTTTTATGATCACTCTGTTTATATGTCTTCATACTAACCTTCAACAGAAGCTTCCTGATTTGTTATTTCTAACCTCTGAAAGCCTCTTCGAGAGGCTGAGAGGTGGTTCAGTGGGTGAAGGTCCTTAGACAACTTAGACAACCTGAATTCATATAGTGAGTCAGTTGAGGTGATTGTGTTTTTAGCACATCTCATTATTTCACAGTAAAGCCCGCAGGCAATTTACATTGTAATGGTTTTTTAAAAAACCTAACTATAACTAAACCTGTTTAGTCCTCAATAATGTTAACTTGATGTTTTGTTTCGCTTCCTCATTCCACAATTATTCTTAGCTCTTCCATAAAAGGTACACTATTTTCTCTTCCTCTTTGTCTTCTGAAAGTTTGAGCTCATGTCTTCACAATGTACTCCACATTTCAGCCAAGTTTGTTAGTGCACACCTTTAATCCCAGAACTCAGGAGTCAGACTCAGGAGAATCTCTTGAGTTCAAGGTCAGGCTGTCCTCCACAGCACCTTCTTGGCCAATCCTACTACATAGTGAAACAACAACAGGCAGAGTCGTGGGGTGCACTGCTTTCATCCCAGCGCTCAGGAGGCAGAGGCAGTAGGATCTGTGAGTTCCAGGACAGCCAGGGCTGCACAGAGAAACCCTGCCTCAGGAAAGCAGCAACAACAAAAACCCCGACAGAGAACCTTGACATTTCAGGCAGACTTTGAGATAGTACATAATACCTCACCTTAATCTTTTGTGTTATTACTTTGAGTGCTCTGGGCATCACTTTAGACTTTTACTCCTAATTTATTATATATACCATATTCTGCTTTTTAAAAATTCACTACAGTGCCCAAAGTTACCTATTCTGTTATCCTCAAAATGCCTTCTGCAGCTGGTCTGTTTGAGCTAGACCCGAAACAAGAACCAGGCATTGCATTTGATTGTTGTGTCTCTTTGGTCTTTGTTTCTCTTTCTTAATTTTTTAGTTTTTCTATAAGACATTGACTTAATTGAAGAGATTAGGCCTGTTGACACTAAAAGCCTCGTCTCTGAATTTGTGGATACTGACTTGTTTCCCCTGACTCTGTGTAACTTTTTTCCCACGTTTGTATTTTCTGAATCTTTGTTTTGTCCCCTTTGATATGTGGTCTCGCTGTATTGCCCAGCTTATAGTTAAACTCCTGGGTTTAAATGTTCCCACTTTAGCCTCCTGAGTAACTGGGTTTATAGGATTAATTAGATTCAGATAGGACATTTCAGGATGAGGCGTCTGTCATGTATGTTTTATATTATGATGTATCAGGAAGTGGATGGGTCTGCTTTCTTCTTTGCCATGGTAGGATCAATCATGGTCTTAATCAGCCAGACAGGTACTCTACCACAGAACTACATCCTCAGACCTTTGTTATTACAGGAGCTGGGATTTTGTAGTTGGACATTTTTGTCAGACTTTCTTTGAACTGCCATCCCCAAAATAATGACATGGAGACTTATTATTAATTATGAAAGCTTGACCTTTGTTTAGGCTTGTCCCACTAGCTCTTATAACTTAAATTAACCCATTTCTATTAATTACATTTTGCAATGTGGCTCTTCTCTTCCATTCTGTATGGCCGACTCCCTCTGCATCTCTCGTGTGCCTAGTTCCCCTAAGTTCCTCTCTCCCTGGAAGTCCTGCCTAACCTCTGCCTCCTAGCTATTGGCTGTTCAGCTTCTTTTTAAACCGATCACAGCAACACATCTGCCCTCAATATAAACAGATATCCCACAACAGGATTTCACTACATTCCCCAGGCTAGGTCTGAATTCCTGGGCTCATGAATCTCTACCTCAGATTCCTGAGTGCTGATACCACAGACATGAGCATAGCACCAAGCTCTCCTGTTATGTTTGATATTTAGTTTGGTCACTAGAGTAGGGAAGAAAGAGTCTAACACATTCATTAAAGAGTACTTTTCTCTTTCAGCAGCCACATAATCTTTGGGGAGGTACTTTGGTAGCACAGTTCCCTGGTGAACTTTATCCTACATGTTTTAGAGTCCTTTCCTGAACTAGTGAAGGCTGTGAGATGTTTATTTTCAAAATATTCAGTTATTTCTACAATTAGCAGATAGCTTTCTATAAAAGACAGTTCCAACTCTGAAAATCAGGTTAAATTTAGAATTTTATCCTTTAATTTTTAAAAAAGATTTATTTTTCTTTTACATGTATAAGTGTTTTGCCTGATAGCCACAGAGGCCATAAGAGGGCATCAGTCCCCTTGAACTAGAGGTATAGATGGTTGTGACCCATACCACATGGTTACAGGAAGTAGAACCCAGGTCTTCTTGAAGAGAATTCAGTGCTTTTAACCACTGAGCCATCTCTCCAGCCCAGTTTTTAAATAGACTTTTAAAAACAACATTGTAAGCTCATAGGAAACCTTAGAGATTTCTCTGTACCCTAACCCCATTAATATTCCCCACCAAGTGGAGCATTTGTTAGGATTAATATTGATGAGCTTACATTGACTTGTCTTTAACAGACTACATCTGTTGCTTAAATTAGGGTTCCTTTTAATTTCCAATTTCAGAGTGAAAAAGTTGATGTTTTAGTTGTTTTGAAAGGAACAGATTCTCCTCGTTTTTGTGTGTGGTGCCATATATACATGGGCTTTATCCTAGAGGGCCCCTACCTTTTTTAAAGTTTGAGACATGATCTCACCTTGTAGCCCTTGCTTATCTGGGGCTCACTATATAGTTTAAACTGGCCTAAACGCTCACCAGTCCTTCCAACTCAGCCTTCAACTGTTGGGATTATAGGTATGAGCTTCCACACCTGGCTGTGATATACCTCTTGTAGCAATGGTTTTTTAAATTTTTTTTTTGTTTTGTTGTTATTGTTTGGTTTTCGAGACAGAGTTTCTCTGTGTAGCCTTGGCTGTCCTGGAACTCACTCTGTAGACAAGGCTAGCCTCAAACTCAGAGATCCTTCCTCTGCCTCATGAGTGCCGGAATTAAAGGTGGGTGCCATCACCATCTGGCTACATTTTAGTTTTTTATGGTATCTTTCATTCAAAATATGGTAAAGCAACCAGGCATGATGGCACAGGTCTTTAATTCCAGACCCTTCTGAGTTTGAGGCCAGCCAAGACTACATAGTGAGACCCTGTCTCAACCCCCCACCCCCCTCCAAAGAAAACATGTTAAAGCTGTGTACCACTAATCGATGGAGTAGTTGCTGTTCTGACTTGAGATTCTGCTGAGAACCTCCCCTCTATCTCTCTTACTGGGAACAGAATTTTAGAATGTGGCTCTACTTAGTATTTTAGAATCTAGGCACCGCCTATATTTCATAAAAAAAACACACGTATCTCCTACATATGAGCTACCTTCTTATTTTAATAGATCTGTTTGTGATAGGAGCCAGGCGGTAGTGGCACACGCCTTTAGTCCCAGCACTTAGGAGGCAGAGGCAGGTGGAGCTCTGTGAGTTTGTGGCCAGTCTAGTCTACAAAGCAAGTTCCAGGACAGCCAGGTCTGTTACACAGAGAAATCCTGTCTCAAAAAGAAAAAAAAGAAGGAAGAAAAAAGTGTAATCTGTACTCAGTACTCATGGTGGTTGTGCTTTGTAAAGTTGCTAAGTTAGAAAATATCAAACTATTGTCCTATTGAAATACAGGAGTAGGGGCCTGGAGAGATGGCTCAGCGTTTAAGAGCACTGAAGAGCATTTCCAGAGTTCAATTCCCAGCAACTATATGGTGACTCACAACCATCCATAAGGAGATATGGTGCCCTCTTCTAGTCTGCAGGCATACATGCAGAACACTGCATATATAATAGTAAAAGTAATGGTAATAATAATAAAAAAATACAAGGATAGATTTCTATAAGCCTCTAGTCAGAATTTCTGTAAGCTTTTTGTCAGACTGTCATTTCATTCTGCTTGTGTTTTAGATTTATGTACGAGGATGGAAATTAAACTAGAGTATTGTACAGATTCTAGTGAGCTTCACACTTAGCCCCAGCCTGTAGGTGCCAGGGGTCTAACTCAGGTCCTCATGCTGTGTAGCAACCATTTTCCTGACTGAACACTCTCCAGCCCCTGCAATTGAATTTTATAAGTTCAAATAACCTCTTAAGAATCCTGTGCCTTTTATAGAAAAAATTTAATTGTTTTAATTTAGTTACTAAGTTGTTTTTGAAAATATACAATATAGGACTTGAGGATTTTTCAGAAGAAAACAATTGTTTCATTTCATCTGTAATTTAGTTTTAAAATGTGTTTATATTATGTATTTAATAGACCTTTGTAGGAATAATAACTACTAAGAAAAATTTAAAATTGTGTCACATAGGGACTGGAGAGATGGCTCAGTGGTTAAGAGCATTGCCTGCTCTTCCAAAGGTCCTGAGTTCAATTCCTGGCAACCACATGGTGGCTCACAACCATCTGTAATGAGGTCTGGTGCCCTCTTCTGGCCTGCAGGCATACACGTAGAAAGAATATTATATACATAATAAGTAAATAAATAAATATTTTTTAAAAAAATTGTGTCACATTCTAGTCATTGTGGTTTTAATTAGTGTTTGTATTTGGTTTTAGGGTGGGTCTATTTTATTAATAACAGGTCCTCCAGGATGTGGGAAGACAACTACTCTAAAAATACTATCAAAGGAGCATGGGATCCAAGTACAAGAATGGGTTAATCCCGTTTTACCAGACTTCCAAAAAGATGATTACAAGGAGTTACTTAATTTAGGTAAGTTTTGCTGCAAAGGTGCTGGAGTTACAAAGAAAGCTTTACTTAATGAAACTTCCAGGTCAGGTAGTAAGAGCGCATGTTTCTCCCATACTCATCAGTTTGAGGAGAAACTGAGAAAGGCTCTGATAGTAGAGCGGGGTTCTTAGAAAATTAAATTTAAACTCTTTTACAATAACCAGCTGATTTTTGTCGGGTTTTTTTGTTTTTTGCATTTATTTATTGACTGTATGTTTGGTTATGTAATGTGTATGCATATGTGTGTATGCACAAACGTGTCTATGCCATGGCTTTCATGTGGAAGTCAATTCTCTCCTTTGAGGGAGTCAGTTCTCTCCTTCCACTGTAGGTTCTGAGCCTGCTCAGTTTATGCTGTTTGAGACAATGTTTCATGTACCTTGTCTTGCCCTAAAGGTGTGATCCTCCTGCTTCCACCTCCCACGTGCTAGGCTTATAGGCATGTGGCACCACACTAGATTAACAGGATCTCAGATTTTCATTATTTATGGAGTTCCACACTGTAAGGTCTTCTGTTTCAGTGTCAGTCAAGTCTTAGAACATACTAAAGGAACTTGCCTCTCAATAAAATAGCTTACACCCCAGCACTTAGGAGACAGATCTCTTGTGAGTTCCAGACCAGCCTAGTCTAGATAGTTCAGGCCATCTAGAGCTGCACAGTGAGACCCTGTCTCAAAAGTAAAGCACTCCCCTTAAAAAAAAAAAAAAAAATTGCTGGGCAGTGGTGGCACATCCTTTTTTTTTTTTTTTTTTTTGAGACAGTTTCCCTGTAGTTTTGGTGCTGGTGCCTGTCCTGGAACTAGCTCTTGTAGACCAGGCTGGTCTCGAACTCACAAAGATCCTCCTACCTCTGCTGCCCAAGTGCTGGGATTAAAGGTGTGCACCACCACCACCCACCTGCACATACCTTTAATCCCAGCAATTGAGAGGTAGAAGCAGCCGTATCATTCTGAATTCCAGGACAGCCAGGGCTGTGTACATCGAGAGACCCTCTCTTATAAAACAAAACAAAGATAATAACAGTAGTGATATGATCTGAAGATAGCATTCCAACTCCTTTCCCTCCTTCCCTCTTCCATGATGGTTCTTGAGTCTTGGGAAGGGTGAGAGAGATGTTCTCTTGGGCTGGAGAGGTGGCTCAGCTGTAAGAGCACTGGCTGCTCTTTTAACTGCTGAGCCTCTTTCCAGCCCAACAGCCGTTTTTTAAGTCAGTTAATTTTGTGATACTTTCATTGGAATAGAAAAATTATTCTTGGCCATCATTCTAGTCTTTAGAAATGATATCTTATTTTAAATTTAAACCATTTCAAATAATTGAAAGATAGTCTTCAGTACTGTAAGTTGTATCATTTAAATGAATTTAATGTGTACAATATTTGTATAATATTAATGTATGTGATTTGAAAATAAAGTAATAAATGTATTTCTTTTCAGATTCAAAAGTCTACATGGTTCCATACCAATCTCAGACAGCAGTCTTCAATGACTTTCTGTTAAGAGCCACCAAGTATAGCAAACTGCAGATGCTCGGAGATGATCTGACAACTGATAAGAAGATCATTCTGGTTGAAGTAAGGACAACTTTTACTGTGCTGCTAGAGCTCTTGTGTAAACAGTTGTGAGATACATTGGTAGCGGCTTTGTGATAGCCTGAAGGTTGTTTCAGTACAACCTTCTAAATCAACAGAATAGTGTAGGTTACAGTAGAGGAGCTATATTATAGCATAGCTTTCTTTTTTTTTTTTTTTATTTATTTATTATGTATACAATATTCTGTCTGTGTGTATGCTGCAGGCCAGAAGAGGGCACCAGACCCCGTTACAGATGGTTGTGAGCCACCATGTGGTTGCTGGGAATTGAACTCAGGACCTTTGGAAGAGCAGGCAATGCTCTTAACCTCTGAGCCATCTCTCCAGCCCCCTATAGCATAGCTTTCAACTGCGATGCCATTGGTATAGAAAAGCAAAGGAAATCTATGGAAAGTTAATTTCCTCGGTGACAATAAATGTCCTTTAATTTCTCTGAAAACTGTGATCAAAGTACTTTGGATAAGTAATGTTTTTTCTTGACAAATGAAAGTTTAAAAATAAATATGCAATGGAATATCACTGAGCTAATACTTGTCCCTTATGTTCAACAGGATTTACCTAACCAGTTTTATCGGGATTCTCATGCCTTACATGAAATTCTAAGGTGAGTGTCATTGGAAACCAGTGTTCCAAACTCCACATTAGAGGTGGGGTTGTAATTCAGTGATAGAGCGTTTGTCTGGCATGAACAGCTAAATTGCTTGAATTTCAAACATCATGTTTTATTTTAGGAAATATGTGCAGATTGGTCGGTGTCCTCTTGTATTCATCATCTCTGACAGCGTCAGTGGAGATAACAATCAGCGGTTACTCTTTCCCAAAAAGATTCAAGAGGAGTGTTCTATTTCAAACATTAGGTAAGAAATTGTTCTTATGCTTTGTTTTGGTTTTGTTTTTTTCGAGACAGAGTTTCCCTATGTAGTTGTGACTGTCTTGGAAGTCACTCTGTAGACCAGGCTGTCCTAGAACTCAAGAGATCCATCTGCCTCTTCCTCCTGAATGCTAGGATTAAAGATGTGCGCCACCATTGTCCAGTTTAAACTATTTTTAAATTAATAATTTAAGCACCATCCTTTTTCTTTTTACAGTTTCAACCCAGTGGCACCAACAATTATGATGAAATTTCTTAATAGAATCATGACTGTAGAAGCTAGTAAGGTAAGTCTAAGTTAAAACTTTATATTGTAGCTATGGAAAACACAACTTAGATGGAGAAATAGTTGAAGGATGACACTTCAGAGGACACTCTACTGCTATAGAAATACATGTCTTAGCATTCTCTGTTTCTTTCTGTGTGCATGCATGTGAAAAGTTGGAAACAGTTGGAGACTAGCTTCATGGTATATATAGTCTTTGCCTAGCTTGTGAAAGGCTATGGTTTCAATCCCCAAACCTGCCAAAATGCCAAAAGTTGTATATAGGACCATGACATTAATATAATTGTTCCTTATTGGAGAAAATACTTGTTTTGGTATTAATGACATTATTTAAAATGTTGCTACACTTTTATTTTTGTGTTCATGTGAATTCATTTATGGAGAGGGAAAGTGTTCCCCAGGGCACATGTGGAGATCAGAGGACAACTTGCAGGAGTCGACTCTTCTATCATTTGCGTTCTGGGGAATGGAATTTAGGTCATCAGGTTTGGCAGCAAGTCCTCACCCACTGACCCATCTTACCAGCCCTTCAATAAATAGCGTTTCAATAATGACTTAAAAATCACCCCAGTGGTATTAGGTTAGAAATTAAACTTACTGAAAACAAATACCATAAGTCTGCCTAGGTTAAAAATTTTAACTCTGCCAAGCAGTGGTGGCATATTGCCGTTTATCCCAGCACTAGGAAGGGAGAGGCAGGAAGGTTTCATGAGTTTGAGGCCAGCCTGATCTACAAAATGAATTACAGGTCAGCCAGTACTGACAGTGAAACCCTGTCTCAAAAAGGCAAAACAAAAACCATTAACTCTGCATGTTTGCCTAGACTTAGAGATCTTGAATATATTTATAGATACAAGCACACAGAAAGTATGGAAAGATACTCACTAAATTCCTGTGACAAAGTTTGGTTTGGGAAGACAAACAACTTTCATAAAGAATTTCTGAGGGCTGGAAAGATGTCTCAATGCTTAAGAGCACTGGTTGCTTTTTCAGAGGACCTGGGTTCAGTTCCCATCACCTACATGAAAGTTCACAACTGTTTGTCACTCCAGTCTGGGGAGCAGATGTGGTGTTCTGACTGCTGAGGACACTAGGCACATACCACACATGCATACATACAGAAAAAACCTCACACACATAAAATGTAAAAAATAAAATAACCTTTGAAAAAAAATAATTTTTGAAACACCTTTGGTTAATAAAGAGAATGATGTGTAAATTTAAGGATTGTAGTATAGTTCTATTTTTCTATGATAGTTTTAAAAGATCTGATGTCCGATAGACTATGAATAGTCAACATTGCTTTTAGAGAAAGGCTCTCCCTAGGTAATCCATATGGGTTAGAATTTAGGATTCTTTTGCCTCAGTTCCCACATGCTGGGACTATAGCCATGTTCTACCATATCTGTGCTGTGCAAGTTTTTAGACATTCAAATTTGAAAAAAGTCTAATTTGTATGTAAGTTCTCAAAATGGGCGTTAGTTTGCATGTATGTATTTATGTTTTAGCAAAACAGTTTAAATTGAATCTCTTCATTTTAGAATGGAGGAAGAGTTGTTGTTCCTGATAAAACGTCCCTGGAGTTGCTCTGTCAAGGGTGTTCTGGTGATATCCGAAGTGCAATAAATAGCCTGCAGTTTTCTTCTTCAAAGGGTAACTAACTAGAAGACACATTCATAGAACAATGACAGGTTACTTTCTCTTAAACAGTCAATGAAATAAATCGGATTCAACCTCTATGTAGAGCCTAGGGATCAGTTCCAGGGACTTCCCTATGGTGGGCAGGTATTCCACTGAGTTCTCTATTCTCATCCCAGACTAGATATGTAGTGGTCCCTCCTTATCTGTAGTTTAGTTGCCTGCCGGCAGAACTCTCTGAAAATTTTAATAAAATATTCTAGAAGTAGAATAAGTCATAACTTTTAAATTTTACATTATACTGACTACTGACAAGATCTTCTAGTGGTGCACGCCTTTAATCCCAGCACTCGGGAGGCAGAGGCAGGCAGATCTCTGAGTTTGAGGCCAGCCTGGTCTACAGAGTGAATTCCAGGACAGACAGGGCTATGTAGAGAGACCCTGTGACAAAAAAGGAAAGAATTCTGCTGTCCATCCTGGGAAGCCAGTCATCTCTGGCGTGTGTGTGTGTGTGTGTGTGTGTGTGTGTGTGTGTGTGTGTAGACCAGGACAACTTTCCAAGTTGGTTCTCACTTTGTAACGCTTAGCTAGGCAAATCCTACAGCATAGGTATTTTTAGATTTAATAGTTTTTTCCTAATTATGTGCATATGTCTCTGTGTGGATGGATATATTCACTTGAGTTTAGGACCTGTGGAATGCAGATCCCCTGCATGCTTACTATGGCATGTGCATGTGTTCATCACACACACAGACACACATACAAATATTTGTTTAAAAATGCTTCAAGACAAAACATGATTCATTTACATACAGGCTTGGTACTGTAGTTTTCTTATTTATTTATTTATTTATTTATTTATTTATTTATTTATTTATTTATTTATTTTTGATGTGGTGTTTTGCCTATGTGAGGATGCCGGATGCCCCGAATCAGACTTACAGACAGTGTGACTGCCACATGGGTGCTGGGTCTTCTGGGGGAGCAGCCAGTTTTCTTAACCACTGAGCCATCTCTCCAGCCCATCTTAATTATTTGTAATGTGGCTCAGGAAAGTCTGGGCTGGGCAATTTGAATGATTACATCTTTTTGCTTTCATCTTCTTGCTTTTTACTTAGGGGTTGTGTTAAGGTTAAATTAAATAATATTTGATTATCATGGTGCTTTATATATATGAGGACCTCTATGCATGATTCATAGGCTTTCTTTTTTGTGTTTTTGTTTTGTTTTAAAGATTTATTATGTATAAAGTGTTCTGCCTGCACACCAGAAGAGGGCACCAGATCTCATTACAGATAGTTGTGAACCACCATGTTGTGGCTGGGAATTGAACTCATGACCTCTGGAAGAGCAGCCAGTGTTCTTAACCCCGAGCCATCTCTATAGCCCTATTCATAGGGTTTTTTTTCTATTTATTAAAAATTTCCACCTCCTCCCATTTCCCTCCTACTCCCCCCCCCACTCCCCTTCCCTCTCCATTCCTAAGAGTAGTCAGGGTTCCCTGCCCTGTGGGAAGTCCAAGGTCCTCCCCCCTCCATCCAGGTCTAGGAAGGTGAGCATCCAAACAGACTAGGCTCCCACAAAACCAGTCTATGCAGTAGAATCAAAACCCAGTGCCATTGTCCTTGGCTTCTCAGTCAGCCCTCATTGTCAGCTACATTCAGAGAGTATTGTACTTCATTACATTTACTTTTGAACTTCATTTTTTATTACATAGATTTATTTGGGTATGTGTATGTATGTATGTTGGTACATCATGTCATGGTGTGTGAATGGACATTATTTTTAAAATATCATTTGGATGTGTATTATTTAGGAGAGAACACTTTATGGTCAAAGAAAAAAAGAACGTCACTGAAATCGGATGCTGCCATATCAAAATCAAAGCAAAGAAAGAAATGTAATAGTGCTTTGGAAAATCAAGAGATCCAAGCTATTGGTGGAAAAGATGTTTCTCTCTTTCTCTTCAGAGCTTTGGGGAAAATTCTGTACTCTAAAAGTAAGAAACATTTCTGCATTTTTTTATTATATGTAGTACTCTCACTTCAGAAATAAGATACTATGTGTTTTGAAATGCCTTGTGTTTTGTTTTATTACTGGAGGAGCTAGGGTCCCTGCCAGATACTGCAGAGTCAGTGCTAAAATGTAACAGGAAAATGTTTCACCTATATGGATCATTTTCCACAACTCTAAGTCATAGTCGTGTCTGTAAGTTCTAGTTTCCTGAGGACGCCAGTCCATCTAGAGCAGCAGCTCTCATCTGTGAGAAAGACCATCGCAAAACACAGATGTTTACATTATGATTCATAACTAGTAAAACTACAGATATGAAGTAACAATGAAATAATCTTATAGTTGGGGGTCACCACAACATGAGGAACTATACTGAAAGGTTGCAGTATTAAGAAGGGTGAGAGACCTTTAATGGTAAAAGTTGGTAGTCCAAAGCAATTGTAATACTCAGCTCCAAATACTGGGTCCTGGACCAGGGGCTAAATAGCTTCAGGTTTCCTTGGCTTCTCTTCACTACCCTGCTGTCCTCATAACCGCAGATGTCCATTGCTCTCATCTGTCTTCTGTATTATTTGTTCCATTTAGCCTTTCCTCCCCTACCCTCCCAAACTTTCCCTCCTTTCAGGAAAATCCCAGACTTGTTCTCTATATACTAAATACCAATAGGATTCTGAAGGGAGAGACCGATTCCAAAGTGGAAATGCCGTGTAAGGAAAGTCTGGTGAAAATACTCATTTGCCTCTTGGTCTTCTTTCCTTCCAACCTCAGTGCCCATTTTCACCTAATTTCTTTCTTGCACCATTTCTTCATTCCCAGTGTTCATTTCTAACCTCTGCATTGGGGCCTAGCTTTCCTGTTTCTGTAGGTAGAATAGCCTCTTCCTACACAGCAAATATAGCACTTTAGCCTTCCACACTGAGAGAAGGCAAAGAGAGAAAACAACCCGGAGTTGAAAGATGAAATGGGAAGTACTTTGAGACATGTCAGTTTTTAAGTTCAGAAAAACCATACCAGCTGGACTGTGATGGCATACACCTTTAATCCCAGCACTTGGGAGGTGGAGGCAGGTGGATCTCTGTGAGTTCGAGGCCAGCCTGGTTTACAGAACTAGTTCCAGGACAGCCAGGGCTACACAGAAAAACCCTGTCTGGAAAAACAACAACAACAACAACAACAACAACAACAACAACAATCCATAATTTAAATATCACAATTCTGAATTTTGCCCTTGTTAGTGATGGTAAAGTAGTTAAACTCGTTTGTTTTGATGTTTTGGTTTTTAATTTTTAACAACTTCCTTAGTGTTTTGAAATTAATGTACCTAAAGTATTGAAAATCAGGTCATGAAAGCGCTGTGATTGGAAAGATGACTTTAGCTTTAGTAACCTCAGAGGTTTTCTTACAGGAGCACCTTTAACAGAATCAGACTCACCTCGCTTGCCTGCCCACCTCTCAGAGCATGAACGGGACACCTTACTTGTTCAGCCCGAGGTAAGGACTTTTGTAACACTTGGGACTTGGCTTAATATGTGTTATCTATGTGCCTAAACGTCTGTTAATTGCATTTGCACCAAAATTTATATATTTTTTTGCCTCTTTTTATAGGAAATAGTAGAAATGTCACATATGCCAGGAGACTTTTTTAATTTATACCTTCACCAAAACTACATAGATTTCTTCGTGGAAGTGGATGATATTGTGAGAGCCAGTGAGTTTCTGAGCTTTGCAGATGTCCTCGGTGGTGACTGGAATGTAAGATCATTTAACTTAAATATTTTTTGTGTGTTTTGTATTTCTTCAGGGAAAAAAATGAGTTTTATCTCTATTACATGTATGTTGGACTCACCTACTGTGCTAGATCTATCTAATTATTCAAGCCAGTGTTTATAATAAAATCTCAGGTTAATTGATTTTTTTTCTGATGATATGTAGCACTATTTTTTCTGATATTCTTTTCTAATTTTATTTATATTACTTATTTTATGTCTATGAGCCTGTATATATATGTACACCAAGTAGGTGCTTGATGTCCATGGAGGTCAGAAGAAGACATTGAATCTCCTGGAACTGGAGATGATTGTGAACCACCATGTGGGTGTTAGGAACCAAACCTGAGTCCTCAACAAGAGCAACACATGCTCTTAACCACTGAACCATCTCTCCAGCCTCTGTTTTCTAATTTTAAAATTAACATATACTCAGACCATTTTTAAAAAGTTTATTTTTAATTATGTATAGATGTGTGCCTCATGTGTGTATGTGCACTAAGGCTGGAGTTACAGACAGCTCTGAACTGTGTGGGTCTGGGTGCTGGGAGCCAGACGCAGGTCCTCTGGAGGACAAGCAGCAAGTGTCGTCCTTAAGGAGTCAGCCACTGACAAAACAGATTTTTTTTTTAAAATAACTATAAAATGTGTATTAGCTGGAAGTGTGGCTCAGTGGTAAAGCATATGCTTAGGTGCACAAAGCCCCAGATTTGATCCTTCATACTAAAAACAGTCATCTGTTCATTTCTTTCTCATTAACATGGGGGGAGTGGATATCAGAGGACAACTCTGTGGATTTGGTGCTCTCTTTCCACTTTTTTTTAGGTTCTTATTAAACCCATAATGTTATCACACTTAATAAAGTTGTTGTTAATTTAGTTACTATTAATTTAGCTTGGTACACACTTGTAATTCTGGTGCTCAGGAAGGTAAGGTGGGAGGTACCAAAGTTAAGACTAGCCTAGCTTACTTAGGAGACCTTGTCTTCAAAACCAACAAGACAAAAATAGTTTAGTAATATGCTATCATTTTCCTTTTTTTTCTTTTTCTCCCCCTCCCCCCCAAAAAAATAAACTGGGTGTCTCTGTGTAACTCTGGCTGTTTTGGAACTCGCTCTGTAGACCAGGCTGGCCTCGAACTCAGAGATAAGACTTCCTATGCCTCCCAAATGCTAGGATTAAAAGTGTGCACCATCACCTCTGGCTGTTATCATTATTTTCTAGTTGCCCCAAAAATGTTTCTCCTAACCCTACCAAAGCCTTTACCAACTCCACCAAAGTTTCTACTTAGTACATTTGTTTCCTCTGTTTCAGTTGAATTTGTCTTAAATAATTTTATAGCAATATTTCTAAGGCTTTGATGATATTGGAAAACAGATGCAAAGCCACTAAGTATACTGGGGTTTTAATTTGTGTCGGTACTACCAGCAGTAGAATTTCATGTGTTGTTTCACATCTTGTCTCACCTGCTAGACGCGCTCTTTACTCAGGGAATATAGTACATCTGTAGCTACGAGAGGTGTGATGCATTCCAATAAATCCCGGGGATTCGCTCATTGCCAAGGAGGAGGATCAAGCTTTCGACCCTTACATAAGCCTCAGTGGTTCCTAATACATAAAAAGGTAAAAAAAAAATAACATTTTAAAGCTATAATCTCAGCAGTGCTGGCTGAGGTGAGAGGATTGTGAATTCAAGTCCACTTGGGCTAACTACATAGTAAGACTCTATGTACTGTGAACTTCATTATGTATGCATTGTATTTCCAAGCCGAAGTTTGGTTTGTTTGGTTCAGTTTTTAGTTAAAGAGTCTTGTGTATCACTGGTTGTCCTGAACAACTCCCAACCCTTCTGTCCTGTGCTACCTTGCTCAGTTTGTTTTCTTAGCAGCTACAGTGTGTCTCTGTGTGCGCGCACGCCAACCACCTGATGGCTCACAGCCATCTGTAATCAGATATGGTGCCCTCTTCTGGCCTGCAGACATACATGCAGACAGAACATTGTATACATAATAAATAATATATCTTTATAAAAAAATCTAAAATTGAATAAACCACAAAATTAAACCTTAGGATACAAATTTCAGTAAAGAGCAGGGCAGTGGTGGCGCACATCTTTAATCCCAGCACTTGGGAGGCAGAGGCAGGCAGATCTCTGTGACTTTGAGGTCAGCCTGGTCTACAGAATGAGTTCCAGGACAGGCTTCATAGCTACTGAGAAACCTTGTCTTGATAAGCAAAAACAAATTTCTTTCAGTAAAGAGCAGTGAATTTGAGGTTTGTTGCACTTCCCCACGATTACACTAGTTACAGTAATTACAGTAATGCACAGTCACACATTACTTGGTACAGAGACGCAACCTGAGAACCTTACTGAGTTTTACCATTGTGTAACCAGCATCGGTGTTCTCATCAGACAAACCAAATTGTATATATAGGTCAAACATTGAGCAAGGACTGTTCCTTCCATGAAAACATCTGGTAAATGCACATGTGTGAGGCTGCTGCAGGGTAATAGGATATTGTTAGGTAATGCTAGGACAATTATAAACTGCTACTTACATAACTTTAAAATTGTGTGTCTGTGTGTTGGGAAGAAGATCATAGAGATCAAAAGATAACAACTTTAAAGATTCAAGGGATTTTCAGTTCAGGTCTCGGGCTTGGCAACACCTTTATTGCCTCTCTCCAGCCTCAGATAAATTCTTTAAAGTATGTTTATATACTCAGAGAGGAATCCTATTTGGAGACCAGCCTGGTTGCATGAAAAAAAAGTATCTTTATGGTACATAAACTTAGTCTTTGTGGCATAATAAACTTTATCTATGAATTCATAACCACTTTTGTTTGATTTGGTTTTGAATTTTTTTATTAAACTTTATTATTGATAAACTTACTAATAAAAATATCACATACCAAAATTAACCAGACCCAAAGTATTAATGAACTTATATACAGTTAGAATTGACATTTGTTTGAAACAGGATTTCACTGTGTAGCTCTGACTGGCCTGGAACTTGCTATGAAGATGAAGGTAGTCTCAAATTCACAGAAATCTGCATGCCTCTGCCTCTTGAATGCTGAGATTAAAGTAATCACCATGCCACATGTATAACCATCTTAAAATTTTATTTTCCTTTCATTGTCTTTCTCCCATACAGTATCGAGAAAACTGCCTGGCAGCAAAGGCACTCTTCTTTGACTTCTGCCTACCAGCTTTGTGTCTTCAGACTCAGCTCTTGCCGTATCTTGCTCTGCTGACCATTCCAATGCGAAATAAAGGTAACGTGTTTCTTTCCTATAGAGTACTTGTTACCTATAAGTTGCAGCATCCACACCGACAATGCTTTAGTCTATAATAGGGGCTGACATCTGGTTTTCATTCCTTCTTAATTTTTGTCTGAACTATACTACCAGGAATAGCTTTGATTCTTTTGCATTTGTTTTCGTTTTTTGGTATCTATTGATGAAGACTCTGGGATCTTAACTTCTTCAGTTGTAGCTCCTCACTATCATTTATTTTGATCTCAGATTGTTCACAGTTGACTAGTTGATGCTGTTTTAAGCTGTGGTTTTATTTCTTTTTATTACTATTTTTTGATTATGTGCGCGTGTCTGTGTGTGGGTATGTGCACATGGATGCAAATGCAGTCAGAGGGCAGAAAGGATGTTGGGGCTACAGGTGGTTGTGAGTTGCCTGATGCTGGGAACCCAGTTTGGGTCCTCTGCTGTAAACATGCGTAACAGCTGAGCCATCTCTCTGGAAACCCAGTGTCATTTCTAAGCTTTGTCTATAAAACAAAGCTAGACAAATTTGTGTGTGTAACGTAAGTCCATAATAGAACATCTAGTTTCTACCTAGCCCTACAGTGTTTAACCTAACCTTTTCCTTTTCCATATCTGTATTTCTGTTTGTCATGATTGTTACTGTTTTGTAGGGCTGGAGGCCAGACTTGATTTCCTTTGATCACAAATACTTGGAATCAAATTTAGGGCCTTCCTTGTGCAAGCAAGCTAAATGAATGCTGTATCACTGAAATATATTCCAGATATACCTCCCCCTTTGAATAATGAAATTGTCTACCATTTTTCTAGATAAATTTTTTTTTGTGTGATCATTATACACATATGTACTTTTTATGTATATGTCGGTGTGTGCATGTGCACATAGAAGTCAGAAGACAACCTCAGGTATTGTTCCTCAGCTACTATCCACTGGTTTTTTTCTTCCTCCTTCCTTCCTTTTTTTTTTTTTTTTTTAATTCGAGACAGGGTTCATTGTGTAATCCTGGCTGTCTTGGAACTCACTCTGTAGATCAGCCTGGCCTTGAACTCATGGAGATCTGTCTGCATCTGTCTCCCAAGTGCTGGAATTAAAGGCATGTACCACCACAATCTGGCCAAAATTTTTTTTTAATTGACAAATTTAAACTATATATTTATGGTATATATGACATTTTTATGTGTGTGTATGTGTGTGTGTGTGTGTGTGTATATATATACACACACCTTATAGGATAGCTAAGCCAATTTTTTTGCTTTTTTTTTTTGTTTTTGTTTTTCAAAACAGGTTTCTCTGTGTAGCCCAGACTGTCCTGAAACTAGTTCTGTAGACCAGGCTGGCCTCAAATTCACAGAGATCCGCCTGTCTCTGCCTCCCGAATGCTGGCATTAAAGATATGTGCCATCAGTTGGCAAAAGTAATTTTTGAATGATGGTATTTAAAACTTTATTAAAATTTTTTTTCAGCTCAGATTTCTTTTATCCAAGATATTGGAAGACTTCCTTTGAAACGAAACTTTGGAAGGTAAGCTGATCATCTTAATTCCTAAAGAATTCTTTCTGAAATGTCCACTGAGTGTATTTGCATACAGTCAGTAAATGTGGTCCATTAAATACAGAACAGCTGGAGGCTTGGTGGCACACACGTTTAATTCCAGAACTCAGAAAATGTCGGCAGGTGGATTTCTGTTAGCTCAAGCCAGCCTGGTCTACATAGCCACAGCTTTGAAGATAGATCCTGACTCTGATTAAATAATTAATTAATTAAATATTTTAAAAAAGAGCTCTGGCTAGAGAGATGAGGGTTCCCTGGTTGAGAGTACAGACTGTTCCTCCAGGACCTGAGTTTGTTTCCCAGCACCCACGCTGGGCAGCTTTTAACTGCCTGTAACTGTGGCGACGGTATCTGACTTCCTATAAATATAAAAGTGAATAATTTAAAGCATCTTTTTCCAATTTCTAGCAGATAACTATAGGAATAAAAGTAATATAAAAAGAAGGTATTGGGGGCTGAAGAAGATGACTCAGCGGTTAACAGCATTGCCTGCTCTTCCAAAGGTCCTGAGTTCAACTCCCAGCAACCACATGGTGGCTCACAACCATCTGTAATGCGGTCTGGTGCCCTCTTCTGGCCTGCAGACAGAATATTGTCTACATAATAAATAGATAGATAGATAGATAGATAGATAGATAGATAGATAGATAGGATAGATAGATAGAAGGTATTACAGCTTTGGTGTCTTGAGGTGGGGAGGATCACACTTTGTAGCTGAGGCTCGACTCAGGACTTCTCATTCTCTTGTCGTAGCCTCCCAAGTGCTAGTATTACAGGCTGTACCACCATCCCTGACTGAAGTTTTAGTGTTGTGGGGTTTTTTTGGTTTGTTTTTGTTTTTTGGAAACAGGGTTTCTTTTTGTGGCTTTGGCTAGCCTGGAACTCAGAGATCCAGTGCCTGCTTTGCCTCCTGAGTTCTCGGATTAAAAGGTGTGAGCACCATGTCCAGCTTTAGTTTCTATTTTTAAAATTATAAATTAATTATAAATTAAATAATATAAAATGCAGTCCTATTCATGTTTCCTGAGATTTCTGTTTTCTGCTCATTTTTAATGTATATATAAACATTAGTGCATAGGAACTCTGCTGGAGACATTAACCCTCTTGTAGGCAGTAAGGTTTATTCACAGTTACTCATTCACCTTGAATTTTGTGTAAGTGAAAAGACCTCTTAGGCTGCAATTGAAAGGAATCTGTGTTTGGTAACTACTGACGTCTGCCCTGTGAATCCGACAGGTTGAAAATGGAAGCCCTGACCGAGCGAGAGCTCATAGAGCCTGACAGTGAGGATGAGCTCCAGCATACTGGAGGGCAGCCAGCTGACCCAGAGCCCTGGTCTCTCCCCCTGAGTCAGAACAGCGGGAGTGACCTGCCTGCTAGCCAGCCGCAGCCCTTTTCCTCCAGAGTGGACATGGAGGAGGAAGAGGAGGAAGACATCATAATAGAGGACTATGACAGTGATGGGACATAGAAAACACCTGTCAATCAAAGTGCTACTGGAGAGACTTGTTTTCACTCATTCAGGACTACAGAAATTGGTACTTGAACAGCATTAACACACTTCTGGTGAATGGCAAGCAATTTGCTAATTGCTCAGTTCTCAGAGTTCCTTCTAAGCCACTGACCTCAGTCATCCTGAAGTAAAGCAGGGCTCAAGCACGAAGTCTTTAGTATTTATTTAGTCTTGTGAAAGGATTAGGGAGGAGCGGTCACAGTGTGAAGTATGGTTCTCAATGTCCTGCTTAAATATCAGAAAATGTGAAGGAGTAATCCAGAATATAGACTTTATGGGGTGTTGTAAATTGATTTGTAAAACAATTTATGAGTATAAATAAACTTTGTGCCTTATTTACAGTTTGCATCAAGCTTCTCAGATACCGTTTGGTATGTTGTACAGTGGAATATTTTAGATACTTCTGGAAAATATTTACATAATTTATATAAGAATTAAAATGTTGGCTTTCATCTTGTTTTTCTTATCTTTTAACATTGCCTACCATGCATTGTCTCCTTCAGTTCAGGAGAAAGTAGAACAAATGTTCTAAAGATGGACGGGGCAGGTAGCGCCTTACCCTGTACTGTTTCCTGGCAGGATCTGGGCTGGCCGCGGGCTGGGTAGGGTACCTGCGCGGCTGAGGCCGGCAGGAGGGATCTGGCCGGGCGGGCGGGCGGGCGGGGCGCTGTGGCTCGACCACGCCTTAGGATCCCGATCCCAGTTTCGGTGCCCGAGGAGGGAGGCGCAGGGAGGCCATTCTTCCGGCCAGGTAAGTGGGTCCGTGATAGGACGCCAAGCCCCGTGGGGTGGGGGGCTTTAACCCAGCGGCCAGGCTGAAGCCCGAGCACGTGGGCGAGCCGGCTGGGGGCGGCGGGCGGGTTTTCCTGCAGCGACAGGTGCGGCCGGCTGGACCGCCTCCTTCCGGGCGCCGAGTGGCGCCGCCCTCGCCACTTTCCCGGCTGCCCTGACCGGGACAACGGCCACCTTGGGGCGGAAGCCAGAGCAGATTTTCCAGAGAAGAAGGCAAAGTCGGGAGGCGCACCTGTGGGTTCAGCCGTCGAACCGGGAGGCTGCATGGGAGAGCCCCGCGAGAACTCTGGTGACTGTCAGCGGCGGCCGCGGCTAGCAGCTCTCCCACCCCAAATCCCGAGGCAGTCCACCTTCTGGAGGCGGCAGAACTGTAAGGGGCGGTTGTGCGTGTGTAAAGGTAATCAGGCTTGATTCCTGTGACGTGCAGGGAACCATTTTTCTGGCCAGGACTATGGCTTTCCTAAGTCCCTGGCCCCAACCAAACAAAGACCTGTGATCTCAACAACCTGGATGGAGCCTAGGGGGCTCTGGAGCAACCCTTTAAGACGTCAGGAGTTTCTATGTATTATGTGGTAAAATAACCACTGACCATTCCTTTCCCACATAACATAGTTTGCTCTCCTAGTCTACACATTTAAATTTGTTGTTTATTTAAATGATAAAGTGATGTATTATTTCAAAGAGACGTTTTCCACAGGTGAAGATGAGCTGAACCCGTTACAGTGAGTCATACTTTAACAGTGAGTTAAATTAACCAGCAGGATGCCCTGTAAACCCTATGCACCCTAGATTCTTCAAACCGTGTTCAGTTTGTTGTGCTTTTGCCTCTACATTCTTTTGTTTCGTTTTGATTTCTTGTTTTTTCTTTTGAGATAGGCTTCCTCTGTGTTATCAGTGCTGGCGGTCCTGAAACTCGCTTTGTAGACAGGCTGGCCTCCAACTCACAGAGGTCCTCCTGCTTCTGCCTCCAAAGTGCTGGGATTAAAGGTGTGTGCCACTGGTGGGCTTTGCTTCTACATTCCTAGGCATGTGTTGAATACTTAGGACAACAGAGAGAGAAAGACAAGAGTAAGTGCTGTTGTGCAGGCTGGTTTTATGTCAGCCTGACACAGGTGAGAGCCTCTTTAGAAGAGGGAATCTCAGTTAGGAAACTGTCCCTGATAGGTTGGCCTGCGGCAAGCCTCTGGTGCATTTTCTCGGTCAATGATTGATGTTGGAGGGCCCAGCTCCCTATGGATAGTGTCATCCCTGTCCTGGTAGTCCTGGACACTATAAGAAAACAAACTAGGCAAGCCAAGAGGAGAAAGTCAGTAACCTGTACTTCTCCATGGCCTCTGTGTTAGCTCCTGCCTCCAAGTTCCTGTCCTGACTTCCCTCAGCAATGGAGTGTGATCTGCATGCTGTGACCTGAAATAAACCCTTTCCTCCCCAGGTTATGGTCATGTTGTTTATCACAGCAATAGAAACCCCAACTAGGGGCTGGAGGGATGGCTCAGCAGCTAAGAGACACACTACTCTTCCAGAGGTCCTGAGTTCAAGTCCCAGCACCTACATGGTGGCTCACAACCATCTATAGTGGGACCTGATGCCCTTTTCTGGCCTGCAGGCATACATGCAGATAGTGTACTCATAGACATAAAATAAATAAACATTCTTAAAAAAGAAAAGAAAGCAACTTCATCAAAATATGGCTAAGAAACTGAACAGAATCCTCAAAAGAAGAAATATGAATGGCTAACACACATTTTAAAAGAAAAAAAAAGAAACCTCAACTAAGACAGCTGTCATTTAGAGAGCTTTTGGTTTGGTTTGTACTCCTTGCTTGGTTATCAATATTAATACCCCAGTCTAGGAGTGCCTCATTGGAGGGCCCTGAAATCCCTTCTTGGACTCTTCCCGCTGTGCTCCATCTACTACTCCATATTGGGTGGTTTTTATGTGGGTGAGTGTTTTGTCTGCATGTATGTCTGCGCCCGTATGTATTCAGTGCCCTTGGAGGCTGAAGATCATGTTAGATCCAGTGGAACTGGAGTTACAGTTGGTTGTAAGCCTCCTTGTAAGTGCTGGGAATTGAACCCAGGTCCTCTGGAAGAGCAGCCATTGTTTTTAACCACTGAGCCATTTTTCCAGACCCTCTGGTACGACTTCTAAGTAATCTCTTCTGGCAGAGGAGGAATAGGACAGGAAAGGAGAAGTAAAATATAGATAGGATTGGTCTACGTTTCAAGTTTTCGGTCGCTACATATTTTACGCCCGCTATGTCTAGAATGCAAGGGCTCACTGTGTCTGTGGCTAGCACCGTAATGCTTTGGATCATATTAGCAGCTTCCTTATCTTAGCCTTCCTCTCTCTGTGGTACTCTAAACATCCACAGAGATCTACTAAAACAAGCCGGATCACACCACTCCTCAACTTCGAATCCTCTGGCTCATCCCCTTAGTAGCCAGTGGATTTGAGGTCTCTAGTGAATCAGTCAGCTTCCTTCTGTCCTGCATCTCGTTTTCCTGCTGCCTTGATGAGCTCTCTGACGTGGCTTTTCCTGAGCGAGTTAGGCGATCCCTCAGGGTGTTTGGGTTTTCGCTGGAGCTGTTTCCTTTGCCTGGAGCGCCCCTTCCAGGCATCTGCTTGGTCTCCCCCTTCACCTTTATTTCCATTCTGTTACTTTCTCCGGGAAGATGTCCCTGGCTGTGCTAAAATGAACACTTGCTGCCTGCAGTGCGCTCCCTACTCCCCTTTTAAAACGTTGATCCTGCACACCTTTAATCCCAGCACTCAGGAGGCAGAGGCGTGAGGGTCTCTGTGAATTCAAGGCCAGCTTAGTCTACAGAGCAAGTTCCAGGACAGGCTCCAAAACTATAAAGAATCCCTGTCTCCAAAAACCCCCAACTTTGATCCTTAGTGCGTTATGCATTCCACTTATCACCTGCTGCTCACAGTGGGATTTAAGTTCCATAAAAGTAGGAAAGTTAAATACAGCCGTAATGTGCCTGATTTATCAAGGTTCTCAGTCAGTCTTTGTTGAAAAATGGGTCTCTATTTTACCAGGTAAAATAATGCCTTAGGATTTCCAAATGTTCAACACTTTAAAGGTGAGAGTACAGTACGTTTTTTATTTTGACATAATTTCAAGTTAGTACCACATGTTCAGTTGAATAAATGCCAATAAAAAGCCATAAACAGGAAAAAGGGAGAAATTCAGTGTGCCTCAAACCTGGTAGTTCATCATCAGTAAGTGATGTTTTATTCTATACATTGATTTCATTAAAGAAGGCAACAGACTCAAAGTGCTTTCAATAATTTTTCCAGGTATATTAAGTTCCTCCTAAGCTGTCTTAGTTGTCCATGGCAACAGCAGATTGCCTTGAACTGCTGTGGGGACAGTTGTATTTACGGTTAGGGCGGCTGTTGTTCTACACTTCTGATCAACCACGCATCTCAGCGTCTTTGCCTCTGAGAACTCAGTTTCTAAACTCTAGTGCCAGCTCTTACTATTGTGGGAGGGAAGAGCAAGCCCCTCAGCTAACCCTTTCACTGGTGTGCTGTCTTGTGTGTATGGGTGTTCTGCTTGCATGTATGTCCGTGCACATATGTCAGTGCACATGTCAGTGCATGTATGTCAGTCCCCCAGAGGCCAGAAGAGGGCATCAGATCCCCTGGGACTTGGGGATTGGGGATTGATTGTGAGCCCCTGTATGGGTGCTGAGAATTGAACTGGCCCTCTGGAAGAGCAGCCAGTGCTCTTAACCTCTGAGCCATCGCTCTAACCCCTCAGCTAACTTTTTTGACTAGAAAGGGAAAGGCCACATACTTGCTGTGTTTTCAGACCCCTTTAATGACTCCTTGTTCTGAAGCAAATGTGTGCTCTTGAAAATGAAGAGTATTTGCTGAGCCATCAGATTTTGGTACACTCAGACTCTTGTTTTGTTTTCGGAGACAGAATTTCTCTGTGTTACAGCCCTGGCTGTTCTGGAATTCGCTTTGTAAACCAGACTGGCCTCGAGCTCACAGAAATTCACCTGCCTCTGTCTCCCAAGTACTGAGACTAAAGGTGTGTGCCACCACTGCCTGGCATACTCTGACTTAAATATTTGATTTAGATGTCTAAAGACAAGATTATACTTGGGAATATGTTAGTATTCTGTATTGCTCAAGTTTTTGTTTTGTTTTTATATTTTGTTCATAGGGTTCATACACAAATTAGACTTAAATGCTTTACTATATAAAATTCAAAACTGATATTTAAATTTTTGTTGCACCAAAATACAATGGTATGCTCTGTGGTGGTGGTCCACACCTTTAATCCCAGCAGTTGGGAGGCAGAGAAAGGTGGATCTCTTGAGTTCAAGGCCAGCCTGGTCTGCAGAGCGAGTTCCAGGATAGGCTCCAAAGCTACAGAGAAACCCTGTCTAGAAAAAAACATGTAATGGCATAGAATACTTAAATATATTTTGGATAATCTAATTGTTACAGATGTTTAAAATGTGTTTATCAGGTCTGGAGAGATGGCTCAGTGGTTAAGAGCATTGCCTGCTCTTCCAAAGGCCCTGAGTTCAATTCCCAGCAACCACATGGTGGCTTACAACCATCTGTAATGAGGTCTGGTGATCTCCCCTGGCCTGCAGGCATATACACAGACAGAATATTGTATACATAATAAGTT